CTGGAAAATGGGAGATAAGCTGATAATTCAGGGTTGCCTTGTATTGGGTCTATTGAGGAAGTTGAATTTCACCCTTCATAAATTTCTCTTCTCCCTAAGAATGATTGCAAAGCACCCTGAACAGCATAGACCTTATGCAAACATCCTGTGCTACAGATGAACAGATTGAGACTCAGGTTTACTCAATATTGGTGAACCCATGAAGAAGCACTCAAGCCTTCTGATTCTTGGACCCTAATGGTCAAGACAATTTAGAAGTCACCTGGAGATGCGTGGTGCATGATTTACCTGCAGTTCCGGTGGAATCCCTGGGTGGCCCTTCTCTCCTTTGGGGCCATGCTGCCCCCGTTCCCCTCTCGGCCCCAGGTCGCCTTTGTCTCCTTTCTCACCTTTGGCCCCTTCATGGCCAGTGGCTCCGTTATTGCCATTGTTCCCATGGTTTCCTTAAACAACCAGAGAAAGCACTGTCACTCATGCTCACCATCTATTTTCACGCAGCCCCTTTCTTTAAAAGTGTACCTACTCAATTGTAAAAGAGGACCATTTGAAACAATCCCAAATACAGCCATGGAGACATCATCCAATGGGATCTCTTTTAAATGGGACACTGAAAACAGCCTTAGGTACTCTTAAGGCTCCAAAGCCTGTTTTTCCTATAAAGTAAGACTTGGATGAAAAATTGTGTAGAAGACTTATTATCAAAGCATCATTTATAATAGCAAAGATTAGAAACCACCTAAATGTCCACCAATACTGGAAGGGCTAAATAAAAAAAAATGGTACATCCCAGAAAATGATGTTATATAGTCACAAAAAAAAGTGTTAAAGAAAAATATTTAATAACATTCATTAATATTCATAATATTTTTAGACAAAAAGACTGTGAATCAACAGGGACAGCATGATACTATGGGGTATCAAAAAATGTGTATACATTTTAAGAAATGCTATCTATCTATGTATTACTTTTCAAAGTTGAATTGAATTATGGTACCAATTATGTGTAATTGCAGAAGTCAAATGTGACTTGTATTCATCTTTTGTTATCCGTATATATTATTACAATTTTAATACAGTTTTTTCCTTTCTTAAGACGTGTATACATTTTTTGGCACCCTCTGTATATAGTGTGTGTGTGTGT